CCGTCGTTTTAGTCTCGACCAAGGGTCGCCCTCTTTCACTCCTATAGCCAGGGCCCTAGGGGCCGTCCATAAATGACGTCACGCGATTTTTGACGATTTTTGACCCCCACCCCCCCTTCGTCACACGGCGTCACAAAAAGTCAGACCCCCCCTCTCAAATATGACGTCACAAAGCTCTGCCCCCCCCCCCAAAAAAAAAAAAACATGCTTCAAGTCGCTTTAAACTATTGTCATTGTAGTGCGTATTTAATGTGGCACTGCTCTCTGATTTAAAAAGCCTATTTAATTAAGTAGAACGCGTTGTCTATATTTATTTAAAGTTGCGCATTTTGATGTGACGTCACATTTCTCACCCCCCCCCCCTCGTCACACATCGTCACAAATGTCTGACCCCCCCCCCCCCCCTAGGTGCGTGACGCCATTTATGGACGGCCCCTAAGCAGATTTAATTTTAAATTATTGAGAGAGGAAAAAACAAGGTAAGCCTAAAAATATTACAAGCGAAAATGTATTCAACTAATTTTTGACGCATCGATAACAAATTCAATGTTCTGGCGGCACGACCGCGTGGCGAGCGCCATGTTGCTTTACTTTTGCTTAAGCTTCAAGATTTGTTTGACTGTTATTTTAGTCGTAATAAGCCTCACTTACAACGAGTCAACGAATTGTCACCAGTGCAAATAAATTGCAACGAGCAGCCAACACATTAAGAATGAAAAATATTTTTAATTTGGTCAAAATTACTGCATAAAAAAACAAGTTATTCCCCCAGTTTGCCTTATATAGTATTATTTCAGAAGTGGAAGTAACTAGGGCTACTTGGGTGCTATTTTAGGCTAAATTAGAAGCTGAAGCTAAATACAAACTGTCTCCAATTAAACCATAGTATAACAACGCTTGTCTTCCCTTGCACTGGTCTCTATCGAGAATGACATTGTGTGATAAACACCGCTTGAAGATGTTACTGCTCATTTTCCAATAAAAATAAATCTCGAAAAGTTAATCTCCGGTGTTAATATCTCTCAGACCTTACGAAAAATAAAAAGATTTACATGAATCTGCCTCTTTATTAAATCCTTTATATTAAGTTCGCTTGCTTGCTTGCGTGCTTGCTTGCTTGCTTACGACCGTGCAAATCTTTCGGTCGTTTTTTAACCCACTTCCCGTGATCCAATCGAGCTGACATTTTCCACACAGACTCGTTGTGACAGACAATTAATGTTCGTGAAAATTTTTTTTAAACATTTTACACTTTTTAGGCAAAATTTTTTTATTTTACATTTATTCAAATAGAACTCATTCATGGCTTTGGCTGAACGTCACAGTATAGGAGCCCAGAGCGTAACCCCTCCACAGGCCGTGGCGGAGTAGCGCAGTTGGTAGCGCCCTCGCTTCCCATGCCAAAGGTCGCGGGATCGATCCCCGCGTCCACCACAGGCGAATATATTTTTAAATCCTTTATATTAAGTTCGCTTGCTTGCTTAGGACCGTGCACATCTTTCGCTCGTTTTTTAACCCACTTCCCGTGATCCAATCGAGCTGACATTTTCCACACAGACTCGTTGTGTGTGACAATTAATTTTCGTGAAATTTTTTTTCAAAAATTTTACACTGTTTAGGGAAAACAAATTAAATATTTAATTACCAATTGCTTAATACTGGCAGACAATCATCTGACCCATAGATTGCAGCCATCTCAAGCCAGAGGACGAGAGGACTCTAGCCGCCACGCATATAAAGGATTTCGAGTGAAAAACTTTGTTTTTACGGGTTTACTTGTGTATATACACTGCTGCCTATCCTTGCTATATAAATCTATTCAAGAAGATATCTTGGTTACATTTTTTTTATCATACAAACAACAACAAAAACATTGTTAAATTTCGATTTAAAGCTTTCGTGACTGCAGGGATTCATCTTCTTGGTTCTTTCTGTAAAGTCACGTAGAAGGGAAGTAATAAAAGAATACAAATAAAACATAATAAAATAATTCTCACGACGTTTCGGCCACAACGCAAGCAGCCGTCCTCAGGTGAAACCAGGTCTGTCGAGGCGACAGCCTCTGTCGCCTCGACAGAAGAATTTAGCATTGACGGCTGCTTGTGTTGTGGCCGAAACGTCGTGAGAATTTTATTTTAATATTTGTATTATTTTATTACTTTCCTTCTACGTGACTTTACCGAAAGAACCAAGAAGAAAAAAACATTGTTATTTTTATATAGACCCTAGGCACAGTGCCTAATGTGGTCCTTTGGCTGACACGGTCCTGCTCCTAGCCGTGACGTATCCTACCCAAGTCCCAGTCACTCTTCTCGTGAACGTCACGGCTCTTACATTGCGTTACGTTCTCTACTCCACGCGTGCACCTCTTCTCAGTAATTAATTACAAGCAAGACCCAAACGTCGCACACCTCCTGCCTTTGACATTCCTCCCCCCCCCAGAAGACGCTGGTGGTGTAACCACCACCCCGCGTTGGAACGTCATCGGCACGACGATGACGTTCCATAAATGGGAAATGAAAGACACAAGTTACAGGCAGTAGTGCGACTGCATGTGTCCATGCAACCTAGACGGCACGGTAAACCACTACGGCCTGCGCTCTTTCAACGCGACACGAACTCAATATCTCTCTCTGCTGAAGCCCTCTTGTCGTGGCCAACAGCAGCAGCAACAGCAGCAGCAAACCTCGACATTGGTATAAAGCTTCTGAAGCACATTGCTGCTGCTGCCATCACACGCAATTATATAAATGTTCAATTTTCTTTGCTAGTGGTTCATTGGTGCATCGAGGAGCCTCACGATATACGCATCAAGAATTGATAACTATTTTTTATTATTGTTGTTATGCAGCCATTAGGGGGCCGCTATATTCGCCACGATGTTTTTTTTTTAAACAATAGGCTGTATAGCCGTACTCTTCAATCAAAATAAATAAGGAGATAAAACGTCTCCGTATATAGTATCTGCCTCTCCGCGCAATAAAAAATATTGTGACACCACGTAAACCAATACGGCCTTCTGCACGTGCATAGCATGCGCCATGAAGCAGGGTCGTTGGCCGAAACGTTGCCTATTATATTTATTTCATTTTAAGGCAACAGTATCACTGACGAATGTGGTGACGTTTTTTCTTTAATACCAGCTGCATTGGTTTAATGCGAACAACAATCTGGACTGGTTTTGACATTCTGGACCGGTTTTGAAATTCGGTTTCTCATCAGCAGTCAGGCTCGCGTGAACCATTGCCAGTGAACTGTTAGATGTTATCGGCAAGGGCCCTCTCTTTAACATATGGGCCCCTAGTTGGACGCATAGCGTGTCAACCCATACGGTTTAGCCCGTATTCTTGTACAGCGAAATTGAGTTTTTAGGTCTATATGGCGTACAGCTCGTTTCAATACGGGCATCAACAAAAATGATTGTCTGTTTGTTTGTGTTTCTCCCTTGTGATGGAACTTTGTTGGATGAGCGTTGCGATTTATATAAAGGAGCACGGGGTGACCAATAATGTCTGAATTGGTCTGTAATGAAACAGGAGCCACTGATAAGGGGTTGACATGTATGTGGACGCAACATTACATAAGACGTCACTCTTTAAGCAGGTCACCACTCCAATATCGTGACAATTCCTCGTATCGCTGACGGGTGACATCGTCCTGTGAACACTAGTAATGCATTGATGATTGGATACTTGTAATCGATTGGTCATCGATGTATATAATGTTCAGTGGGGGGGGGTGAATGTTATGTATGAGGTGTTAAGTGATTGTGGGTGGAGGGGACAGGGGGGTGGAGTGAGGGGGGTGAGGGGGGGCGGGGTGAGTGTAGTGGCTTGTGGATGGAGGGGAAAGGGGGAAGGAGGAGAGGAGGGGAAGGAGGGGAGGGGGGGAGGAGGGGAGGGGGGATGAGGGAGGAGGGGAGGGAGTGAAGGAGGGGAGGGCGGTGGAGGGGAGGAGGAGGGGAGGAAGGAGGGGAGGGGTGAAGGAGGGGAGGGGGCAGGGGAGAGGGGGGTGGGGCGAGGAGGGGAGGGGGGAGGAGGGGAGGGAGGGAAAAGGGGAGGGGGTGAAGGAGGGGAGGGGGTGGATGGGAGGAGGAGGGGAGGGGGGGAGGAGGAGGGGAGGGGGGAGGAGAGGGGGGAGGAGGAGGGGAGGGGGGAGGAGGGGAGGGAGGAGGGGAGGGGGGGAAGGAGGGGAGGAGGGGGGGAAAGGGGAGGGGGTGAAGGAGGGGGTGGATGGGAGGCGGAGGGGAGGGGGAGGAGGGGAGGGGGGAGGAGGGGAGGGAGGAGGAGGGGAGTGGGGAGGAGGAGGGGAGGGGGTGAAGGATGGGAAGGGGTGTGGATGGGAGGCGGAGGGGAGGGGGTGGATGGGAGGCGGAGGAGGGGAGGGGGGAGGAGCGGAGGGGGGGAAGAAGGGGGAGAAGGAGGGGTGGGGGGGTTCAGTAGGCGGAGGCTCAACGAACGCGACCCGCGCCACGCGCGCGCCCATTCACTCAGCATTGAGAGCGAGCGAGAGAGCGAGCGAGAGAGCCACGGGCGCTTCACGTTTCCTGCCAACGTCGCAAAGCTTTGGCCGGGGAGGGGGCGGGGGGGCGGGGTGAGGGGGGCGGGGTGAGGTGCTTGAGGGGAGGGGGCGGGGGGGGGTGAGGGGGCGGGGTGAGGTGCCTGAGGGGAGGGGCGGGGGGGGTGAGGGGAGGGGGTGAGGGGAGGGGGCGGGGGGGGGTGAGGGGCGGGGTGAGGTGCCTGAGGGGAGGGGCGGGGGGGGGTGAGGGGAGGGGGTGAGGGGAGGGGGCGGGGGGGGGTGAGGGGGCGGGGTGAGGTGCCTGAGGGGAGGGGCGGGGGGGTGAGGGGAGGGGGTGAGGGGAGGGGGCGGGGGGGGTGAGGAGGCGGGTGAGGTGCCTGAGGGGAGGGGCGGGGGGGGGTGAGGGGAGGGGGTGAGGGGAGGGGGCGGGGGGGGAAGGAGGCGGGGTGGGGGCAAGGTGGTGGGGGGGGGGAGGAGGAGGAGGGAGGGGAAGCGGCCATCATGGCGTCCAACCCGCGCAAGTTCAGCGAGAAGATAGCGCTGCACAACCAGAAGCAGGCCGAGGAGACGGCCGCCTTCGAGGAGGTCATGAAGGACCTGAGCATCACGCGAGCCGTAAGCAGAAGCCGCGGGCGACCGTGTTTTGTGTGTGAAGCGAGTGAGTTGTGTGTGAGGAGGGGAGAAGGTGGTGTTTGTGTACGCGGTCGCATGCCCGCATGCAGCAGCAACAACAACAACCGGGGGTAGATCTCCCCCCAATAACAACAACATCAGCAGTAGTAGCTCGTTATCGTTCGTGTTGCTGCTGTCATCGCCATGGCGGTGGTTGTTGTTGTTGTTTTTGTTTTCCTCACGGTCCCGTGAGGCCTACGGTTCGACGCGGGGTACACCGCCGGGCTTGGCGCGAGCAAACCCCGCAGAGATTTAGCCGAGTGCGGCTACCGATGGACGGGTCAGGCTTAGGTAGGAAAAACAACAATAAACGTGTATTGTTGGTTAAATATAATTGACATTGTGTTCATGTGTTTTGTTCGCCGAGTCGAACAACATTTTTTGGGGGGGAGTGAAATTTATCTCGGGTAAAGTGGTGCTTGTCACAACTTGAGCGATTTAAAATCTCGCAACGTGTCAACCCTATGGGTAATTTAACATTATTATTGTTTAGCGAAATTAATAAAATACTATAGCAATATTAGGGCGCTTCGTTCGCTATGTATGTGTACATGTCGCGGTGTGTGTGTGTGATGGTTCTCAATGAATGGGATGTGATAATATTCCTGGAATGGGCTAACATCGCGTATGTTGTAATCATTCGAATGATCTCATTGCCAACCTCAACAGTCTTGTAATCATTTCGGTTATATTGGCAATTTAAATGTATCTCATGTTATAATTTCAGTCGTGTGATAAACATAGCAATCGCGTCGTGATCTCGTTCTGTATCGATAGTGTTAATAATCATCTCATAATATTGATTAACACAATTATCGCATTCTCTTCTCAACCATCTTGTTATCATGTAAGTCATCTCAACGCAATCATGTCACAGTCATCAATCATCTGGGTTATCACCTCAACCATCGTAACCACCTTTGATATCATTCACCTTATACATTTTCAATCATCGGACAGTTATCAATAATATTCTCATCTCTTTTGTCATTTGCAAATCTGTCATCTCATAATCTCAACACGGGTAATCGATTGTCTCAATCATCTCATAATGCTGTTAATCTGATAATCATCTCAGATCTCTCATAGGATCTGTCATGTCATGTTCATCAACAGCCGCATGCATTTGCTTGCTGGCTGTCAAAACACGCCGTGGCAATGTAATCAACGGAACCAATTCTCAGGAGCCTTGAGCCTGCGGATCGTGGTTAATGAAAGACACAGAGAAACAAACCGTGCACACGCAGATACACAGGCACGTCAAGGAGAAAAAGTTTATTGAGACTTCGTCCTGGCATCATCAAAAGGACATAAATGTGATCGTAATGATGTTGTGGTATTTTGGGGAAAACATGTGGCGTAGTCGTTGCACCTTCAACCCAGACAATCTAAGTTCGATTTCAGACCAATAGCTAACACCAGTGGCGAGTGATCTGAAGCGATCCTGGGCCACATGCCACCTTGACAAATCCGCACTGACCCAACGTGAATTATCGGCACCCCCCCCCCCCCCATGATTGACACAATGTGGTGTGGCCTACATTCAGGAGGGGTTTTTCAATGAATAGCATTTTTTAAAATTAAACTATTCTAGTTTGAACTCCAGCTGATCTTTCCTTTCTTGACCGCAAAACAAATCCATTTAATTGACCAATTTTTTTTAAGTTCACTGCAGCAGTAACTCTTATTATTTACCCAGGAATTCTTCACTGAAACTCAAGCCTCTTTTTCAGGGTTCTGCATTGGCATTTTGGGCCAATTATTGTTTTGAGGTGTGTTTTGCATTGTTCAATTAAATCTAACAGGATGTGTTTTAGCATTATTTCAGCAGGATTTAAATTATCATTTGAACTGCCAATGTTATTGTTTCTTGCACCATGTATCGTTTTTCATAAATGTGAATCGGGTAATGTGACGTGGATGCCACAGTACTGTAAACGTATATTTTTTCATGTTCCCTGTAACATACAATACATACATATTTTATGTAAAGTTAGGTATTTATAGTCAAAACATCATAATCGCATCCATCCTTTATTTTATTTATTTCTACTCTATAATTTTAGCAATATCTGATTCATTTCATGCAGCCAGCACCATGAATTCAGTATATGAAATACAAATTGTGGGTTTTGATGGCATCTTTGAGCCAAAGGTCAGATCGCTGAGCTTGCACTGGGGAGATGGTAGGTTCAAATCCAGACAGCCGCTGTTCATTAAACTTGGTTCTCCGGTGAGGTGATGGTCTTAACCGGTCATCAGTGACTGCACAAAAAAACATCACTTAGATTTTTTTGTGCACTTAATGTATCCAAACTCCACCTTTTTCAGATAAAAAATATTGGTTTATCTTCTATGCGATGGACAATTGGTTCCTGTTACTATATTGAGCATAGGTCACTTAAAGGAATCACAAGAGCTAGCTCCTTGATATCCTGTCTGACGTTTTCTACAAATGAAGGGTTGCGCGGATCTGCAATACACCTGAACAGATTCCTCGTCTAAATAACGTGACGCCGATAGCACAATCGGAATACATTTGGAGAATAAGATGTTTACAAGGTTTAACAAACAAAAATCCTCCATGGAACCTCACGCGTCTATATGTTTGTGTGTGCTGTGTCGTTTTTAACAGCTACACTTCAAGGCCCAACAGCTGCAGCTGGCACAAAGCCGCACTCAGTACTATGGAGGATCACTGCCCAATGTCAACCAGATCGTGAATGCCCCGCTGGATTTTCAGGTAAGCATCCTGCATGTGCAGTTACCCACCTCACTGCACGGTGGCCCCCCCTGAGCAACTGGTCTCCTTCCATTGCTTCTGCGAAAATAACGCAATGAATAACAGTGGCAACTAGGCCCCAGGGACAGCTACCTGCATTAGAGTGTAATGCGCACCGCACAACTCTCATATGAAATGGAATGTTCCAAATGAGTTTCGGTCAAACCTGTGTCATTAGAAATACGTGTAGATTTAATATTTGGATGTGCCATTTTTCTATGGGGGTGTATATTGGGTAGTGATCGAAGTGGGAGCTTCGTGGTAGATAGAGTCCTTTGTGTAGCGAGCATGTGTATTGTATTTGTTTAGCATTTTACTCGCTGAGGGTCCATTCTTCACACCGTGGCATTTTGCAGATTAAGCGAAACCACTCTTTCAAACGCATTCATGTCCTCGGTACATTTTTTTATTTAGTTGCTTTGTTTTATGAGCCCTGCGGCCTACCGCCAATTCAACGGTTTGTGTTTTTTTGATGTTCAGACAAATTATGAAGTTTTCATCGCATGCAATATATTGTTCTTTGGGTCTTTTGGAAAAGTCACGTAGATAGGTTCAAAGAAAAACTAAAAAAAATACCTATCTACGTGACTTTACCGAAAGACTCAAAGAATATGAATTCCTGCAGTCACGAAATGTTTATGTCAAGATTTAATGCAATATATTGATGTGTATAAATATAAACTGGCACGTGATGGGGCCTGTGGCCTGAAGTTTGAGAGCCACTGGTGTATTTGACCGTATTAGATGTCCTTTATGTCAGTGCACATGACATTTCATGGCCAGGCATATTATTCGGCGATTGTGAAGTAAATATTCAACTCTGTTGCATATTTGTTTTGTTGGTGGTGCACCACTTGATCTGTGTGTGATTGTGTGCGGTGAGTACAATTTCTATAAAGTATATCATTACAAGTTTGCAAACCAATAACACAGATGTTTTCTTGTATACATGCATCTAGGCTGTGTTTTGCAAATAAACTTGAAAATCACAGCCAGCTGCTCAATCATATTGCTATAGTGACATTGCAGTGATGTCACTACGGAGCCATAATCGTGTGTTTGAGTGTAACTTCAAAGCCTATCTTTTTTATTCCTAAAACTTAACACAAAATAGCCTTGAGCATACAGCCTAAATAAGGTGAGAGCTATTAGTTTCTTGAGTTTCACATTTCCTTAACAGGAAACCATCATGCTAATTCCATGTAGAAATAGCACTGTCTTTGTGTCAACATGTGCCCCAGTTGATGGAACTATTGTGGAAATCAGGCTATCAACAATAACATAATTTTCATAATGGAAATAATAATAGCATTTCAAATTGTTGCAGTCAGCCTGACGACATCATCTGGAATGTGCCCTATCTCGTCCGATCACAGAAGCGAAGTATGGCTAAATCTGGATAGTGCTCACCATTTACAAACAGGTTATTAGAAGCTGCAGGGCTGCGATTGATGCAGAAGAGGGCAGTGCAACAAAATCCATTGTACTGCACTATACTCCCAAGTCCATGCGCCCCCCACATTCAACCTGCACTAACCAGGGAAGTGGAGTATGGTCACATAACTCATACAACCCGCATGGTGTAGGGAGGCCCTCATTCAGTAGTTTATTTGCTAAAGGCTGTACATATACCACTCGTGGATGCCATTTTTTCAATATAGTGTCATCTAAAACTTAAGGGATATTTGTTTTTGGGTTTCGTCTCCTCTTAAGATGTTAAGGGGAGGTGCCGCAAACTGAACTTAAAGAAATGAATCCACCTCATGAAAATTTTTGATGCTATTATTTTAAGACATACAAGCACAAACTGTATTGGCACAAACATAAGGAAAACATTTGCAGTGTACTGACCTGTTTTCTCTGGCAGTCTCTATATACTCACCTCATGCAAACTATACTAACGGTGAACCCCCCTCTATCAATAATATTGTGGCTAATTACTTAAAGTTCAACAATTGGTTCAAACACAAATTTGCTGTCGCTAAACACACCTTTTATCCAGTTAGGTTTACTCAAATCAATAATACTCTGCAGGCGGCTAGCCCTTCCCAAAGGCGCAGTGGTATCACACAGTTTGTTGGCGTAGCGAGTATATAATTCCCCATGGTTGACGGCTGCTTCCGGACTTTGTTCGCAGTGTTTGTTCGCTAAGTTAATCGAGTGACGGCCAAATTGTGACGTAATTTGTCCACTCAGTAGATACTGAGTTAACTCATAGATTGCGAGTGTTTACTATATTTACGTGCACTCAAGAGAATACACTGGCAGTTTGGTCGACACTGAGGTAATTATATGAAATTTTGTTTTAAAAATAAATTGAGCATTTACCGTTCATGGAAAGGGAAGATTTCAATGACCACCTGGGCGCATGCCCAGGCGTATTTACAAATCGTGTGTTTGTGTGTAACGAGAAGGGTGAGATTCTTTCAGCAGAGTAATGATTGCTTGCAGCAGCTCTAGCATTAAGGTTAATCATGCCCTTGTGCGTAATTGCATTGCTGATGGGAAAAGGTATGTGTGGAAGAATTTTACTTGGGTTCAGTTCGTTTTCTGAACATTCCTCAAAGGGTTGACGACCAATGAACAGAATAATTAACAGCTGTGGCAATGGAATTATATATTTAAGTATGTTTTGCCATTTTCACGAAATAATGTGATTCCAATTACATTTCAAACAAGTATTCTGTTACGAATAGCTTTGCTAAGGCAGATCCTCAAATCTTGTTTGACGCCATCAAATGTGATCATCATCAACCTAACACAACCGCATTTTCATCTCGAGGCTAACTCAGAGGACTGATGAGTTGCCGGTCATCATTTTTGCATGAGGGTTTGTGACCAGCAATTCTAAAAGTGTTTTTCACCTCCAGTCGTCACAACCCACACCCCCACAATGCACCTTTTTATATAGACAGTGCGCAGTGGCTTCAATTGGCATAAAATATAAACACATCTGGTCATGCTGCATTAGCGGTGGTGCACAAATAACGAAAAAACTCAACACATTCGTCAAGGAAGAGTGTATATAATAGTTGACGTTTTTTGCAGTGGTTATGAAGAAGGCCCGTTGCTTGAAACGTCGTCTATCTTTCCTTTTATGACAGTATTATTGATGATTGAGTTTTTTCATCACGACAAGGTGGTGGTCTGTCACGTCGGGAGGACTGGAGTTGAGAAACACAACTTTTAGTCTGAAAAGTCAATAATTAGGCTGATGGCCTAAAAACTATTTTATTTACAGGTGGAGATGCAGAACAGAATTATGCTTATAAATACATGTTTTAACTATATTTCTCCACTACAACGCATAATGAGTTTGTGTGCGGCATAGCTTTTTGTGTTGAACAAGGTCCCATTGTTTATACGGTATGCTCTTTACTCGAACATTCGGTAATCCACCAGCATAACCGGTTCAGGATTTGCTTAAACAAGTTGTTATTGATAATATTGCCTGAAAGGGCAAGAATCTGATGGACTAAAACATACTTTTGTATATTTGTGGAGACATTTAATGAATTCTGCTGATATACACTTCTTAAATACATGATGTTTTCTGAACTCATCGCTGACTTGGTTTTTATTTGCATATTCGCGGCTTCCCTTGATCCTTGAGCGCCGCCAGATTTTCTTGGCCTTCGTTGTAACAACACTTGTATGGATGCATCCAGTGGGTTTTGAACAGGCAGGATATTTTTGACAGCCGAGGGGTTTTGCTCCACAGACGTCCTTCTACACAAACCTGGACACGACGCGGGGAACACGGCACCACGGCCTGGTTGAACGCGTGTCCAGCCGGAGCCGCCTCATATCCCCGCACCGCCGTCAGCTACCCATCGACAAGCACGGCCGACAGATATCCTTTATACTGAGCCAGCATTGCGACAATTCTATCCGTTTGTAAGAATCTGTCCTGTTGCACGCTTTAAACCATGCATGCACACTGCGGTCGATGTGCAGCACGTTTCAAAACTAAATGTACTCCCACATCTCTAGTTTTTTCTAGAATCGATGTTAGTTTTGACGAAGGGCGTCTTGTACTTTGTGGGAGGTGACGCAGCTGTTCGTGCTGCAGAGATTCTGAAATACGTTACTTTATCTTTACTCTACAACCGAGCAGATGGCAAAGCAGGCTCACTTGGGCTCACTCCTGCTTGATAGCCATTTTATTTAAGAGGGGGCAGGATTGGATCCGACACTGGTACCAGCTCCAAAGAAGATGTTCTCTGCAGCGCAAAGATGGTCGTATTGGGGGGGGGGGGGAGGGATTCTGGAGACTCCACCTGAGCATTGATTGATGTGCACTCAACGAGCACACAGCATCAGCCCTTTGCTTTCAACCCATGCCATATAATGCACGTGAGTCACTATGCTGCTCTCAGAGTTTTGTCCTTGGTGAGGCGGTATTATGGCCGCTTGGAAGAATTGGTGATTGCAATTTATTTTACAGTGTTGGACTTGACACTTTTCCCACTGCAGCCATTAAACACAATACACGCGTCTGTCCCTACGACACTGTTTTGTTTTCCTTTCTCGGCGGCAATTTGGATACATTTTGTTGAAAAGCAAGACTGCTTGTTTTTAATGCTGAGAGAAATCCTTAGATGGCAAATGGAATTACAGTTGATCGTCGATTATCCGGCACGCAATTATCCGGCTTATAACATTATATGGCGGTCCTGGGCCGATCCGGCAAAACCGCTCCAAAGGTTGTACACCAGCCCGGTGAATGGCACTATGTGCGTGACAAAAAAGATAGCTATGCTTGATTTCAGTGTCAAATACATACAGTACATTAAACACTACATACAACAACTTAAACAATGAAAATACTGAACGTATATACAATTTTCTTCTAGATTTGAAGCTTTCGTGACTGCAAGGATTCATACTCTTAGGTTTTTTCCGGTAAAGTCACGTAGGTAAAAAATAAAATTAAAAGTTAATTAAAGTATCAGGTGGGACCGTCACATTTTAGCTGTGACGGTCCCACCTGATGACGGAGACTTGTGTTGCCTCCGAAACGTCGTGATTTATTATTTTATTTTATTTCCATGATTACATTTTATTAACTTTTAATTTTATTTTTTACCTACGTGACTTTACCTAAAAAACCTAAGAGTACAATTTTCTTGACTAATAACTACAGTAATAAAAACTGAAAAATATTCATTGCAATTCGGCAAATAGTGCGTGTAATTCTGCGTTTGCCAGAGCACCGGTCTAAAGGCTGCATCAGTCTCCTGATCGTCAAACACATGTTGTTGAAACAAGAGCATAGATACATCACCCCATGCAGAGTCTTCGAGTTTTGAGTGGTAAGTATGTTACAGTAAATACACTAACTTTTTACAGTAGGATATTTAGTTTTGTATATTTGTATGTTTACGCTAATTTCAAATAGTAAACAAATTTAAAACACTAAAAAAACATCTATGCAACACCGAAAATCAACGTTATACAAGAATGTGCAAAAATTATATATTTTAAATACTGATGCGATTATCCGGCGTATTTAAAAATCTGGTGCCCCCTCCCCCCCCCGAAGCCACTGAATAATCGATGATCTACTATATAAAGAGACACCGTCGTTGGTCTTTTTCATAGGTATTCTGACACTTGGTGAGTGTTTTTAGATGTTTGTGTGCTTGGGTATGTGGGTGTTTGGGTGGGTGGATTGGTGTGAATGATTGTGTTGTCCTTCCCCCGCACCTCCGATTAGCACGGTTGGCAAAGTATGGTGCGAAAGAAGTTAAGCATACATACATACATACATCGTGGGTCGACTGGTTGAGTGGGTATTTGGGTGGATGTTTGGATGAGTGGGTTTTTGCGTGGGTGAGTGGGTGGATGTGCGGTTATCTCAGTCGTAGCAGCTGTCACTGGATTGGGTTGTGTTGCCGTGATGAGGCCGTGCAGTTTTAGGCCTTTCCTCCACAGTTATTGTATTTTTTCTTCAGTTTCTGCCACGTACAGTTGCCAGCTCCAAGGGTTGCATGTTGCATAACAAAGGACACGTGCTTGCACTTGGCAGGTGGCAAGGGCACAGGGCCAGCTGCTCAGCCACTCTTAGTGACGCTTGACCATTGCCAACAAATTTCGATTTAAAGCTTTCGTGACTGCAGGGATTCATCTTCTTGGTTCTTTCGGTAAAGTCAGACAGAGTCTGAAATTCAGACTCTCAAATTCAGACTCTGTCTTATCGACAGATCTGTTCTTCACCTGAGGACGGCTGCTTGCGTTGTGTCCGAAACGTCGTGAGAATTATTTTATTATGTTTTATTTTTATTATTTTATTATTTCCATTCTACGTGACTTTACCGAAAGAACCAAGAAAACATTGCCAACAAGTCCTGGGCTTGGGCTGGGTGGTACGGGGTGTGCTTGAGGCAGCGTCCGATGCGTTTGTTTCCAACTCCAGAGGCAAACGTGTGGTGTGGATTTGTGTGATTGGGGTCATATTGAGATTGGTTCTCTGACATCGATTGTTTTTGACGTCAGTTGTGCGCCTGTGTTTATGTTGTCATTGATGAGTAGTATCAGCTACAGCGTGATTAATAATAGTTAAATATAGTACATTCGAATGTACTTAATGATACTGCTGGTACTTTTTTATTTTTAGGTTTTTAAACAATGGTACTTGCAGTAAATAGAATAATTTGGTGTTTTGACAGGAAGCATATGAAAAATAACTTCATGCTTGAAAATTGACAACCTATGTTGCCCTTTGATTTTACTCTGTTCATAAATAATTAGTGTGAACCAGTGTAGTTAAATATTGAGTGAATCATAATTTTATAACAGCATGAAACTCATTACTGTAATTGTTCCACTTCCGATTAGGCCATGTTTTAGATTTGTTCAAATAGACAAAGTTGGCTTCTCAGGGGAGATAATTAGTGGATTATTAATCATATGCACAGTGTAAGAATGTGCCCTTTCTACCTAACAAAGGTTATGCAGAGCCTGGCTTTAGGCATAGATGAAATATTCCGGTGGAAAAGATATAATGTTATTTCATGGGATAGCCGCATAAAATGTATTTTTAATGATTTGCATGTAACATTGGTTGAAAGGAAATGTTTATACAGATAAGTCCTTCAATAAAATACTAAATTAGTTCTGAAAATTGCCTTCAATCCATCCCTATGATTAGCTCTTAAAATTTGTATTGCTTTACAGTGGACATTTTCATCTGGTTAGCCTTAAATTAAATACATAAAGTATGCACACATGGTTTGTAGATCTAGTTGAATATGAAATGAGTTTGATTTTTTTAAAATCTCTTCCACGTAAATAATCCACAGGAAGATGAGTAACAATGCTGTTTCTTTGTGCTGTGAACTCTAATGCAAATTGCTTTCAGTAGCTTTGAGGATCTGCCTCCCGTAATCTTCTACTATTGTCAGTGGTTTCTCCGCCAACTGCTCATTACTGAGACATCCTTCATTATAAACGTATTGCCCCCGGCTCAGTGTAAAGTGATGCTTGTAGCTGTTGACATCTAGGATGTGGGGCGTGAACTTCACACATTGTTCACGAGGCATTTGGAGATTCGTTGATTCAACGATTTAAATAGATTCTTACACCAAATAAAATAGCATTTAGGCTCTCCGATGTGTTTCCGGGTTGTTACAAGTGTTGCCGACCTATCCATACTGGACATCTGTAAAAATGAGCTTCATAGCTCATCGGATTCCTCCATTCTAAATAAAGATTCTGATTCTGTTCGATGTTTCACTCCCATGTGCCGGGAGCTTCTTCGGAATCTGAATCTTCTTCACAAATTAAAATCTTTCAGGAACTCAAACTTTCAGTTCTTGAAAAAGCTTCCAATATCTGGAACTAAGCAAAAATCTCGATTTAAAGCTTTCGTGACTGCAGGGATTCATATTTTTGGTTCTTTCGGTAAAGTCACGTAGAAGGGAAATAATAAAATAATAAATGTAAAACAATTACATTCTCACGACGTTCGTAAATAATTAGTGTGATCCCACACCATTGTAGACCTGAATCCCTGCAGTCACGAAAGCTTTAAATAGAAATTTTATGATGGATTAGTTAGAATTCCTAGAAATAAATGCAATTTTTTATGATAATGTACCTGCTTGAGAGTAGATTGAGCAACACAACATATGAGACGGCACAAACAAGACGGAAAATAAGGACCGTTCGTTAAATTGCCGGTGGTGGGTCTCGTGGTTGCACTGCACGCCTGTTTTTACTGGAGTGGACATAACGTAACCTGATCAGCATTGCAACACGTGTGGCTGTACTTGCGAAAATACGCAAAAATTACAGTCGTGGCATTAAAAACATAAAACAAAATAAATATAGCCAGAGGTGTTTGTGGAGGCTTTGGGTACATTTCAGGTGGTATTTATTTAGTTTTTAAGTGGTACCATATGTAACTTAACCCTAGCATGTAAATTTTTATATTTTGTCACAAAAGCGGTGACATGGCATTAGATTCGCTTTTTAAATTTGGAGCAAATCATCCTGGTTGGGGGTTTCTTTGTCATTAATGATTTTTTCAGAGATTGCTGCCGGATTTATGGGTCCGGTTTACGTTCTTTGCGAAATAACCAAACAGTGTTAATTATGCTAATGAGACCCGACATTTTTTTAAATGTATCGTTTTCTCATTTCTGGCACTGGCCTTTCTTCAGAGCAGAGAATCACAGAGAGGATTTGTATCTGTTGTAAAGAAAATTACTTTCCCGAATTGTAACACGATTAAATTTGTTTCCTGTTTTTCAGTTCCACAGCCTTGTTAAATGAAGGTTGAAAGTGTTAATGTATCAGCTCCTTACTTGCGGCCATCTCTGTAATGCGTGAGGGCATGATAGTTCTCAT